TTGTCTCTCTGCCAAATGGAAAGCAAACAGATTAACACAGCATAAGGAGAAGGAAAGATGTGACCAAGACATTGTAGTTATTGGAAGGCTGATGACATTTTACAAGCAGAGTCAAAAAGAGCCCTGGGATGACAAATTTTAGCAGCTGCATTGAACGCATTAGCTTCATTTAACATTGAATGTTGGCTTCAGGACAGAAAACTTGGTGGACATTTTCTAAGGAATGAAATTCATTGAATTTCTTTTAAGGATGGCCATAAAGTAAAGTAGTGTGTGTGTGTGTGTGTGTGTGTGTGTGTGTGTGTGTGTGTGTGTGGTGTTATGTTTTGACTCTGATATTAATTGCATTGGTAACTTACTCCTAATGTCACAGTATTAGTTGTTGGACAGAGTGTCCTTGAGAAAAACAGCAACCTCTGTGGCCAGGAGGCCTCCTTTTTTGAAATGAGGAACTGTTGAACAGACCCTGCTCCCAGAAGGCAAAATAGCCACATAAGGAAATCAGCTCAGTGCTCAATAAAAGGAACTGACTGCTGTCCACTCCACATTCACAAGTGCATTCTAGGCTTTGAAGGGCTGTTCACAAGCCCAGTCACAAACTACAGTTTGGGTCTTGGCCAGAGATTCTCTCCAAAGATGACTATGTATCAGGTCAACGCATTGTAAGGAAGAAAACCCAAAGTTTAAAGTAAGGTCTGTAAGGGCAGTCTTAAAAAGTGAACATCTCAATTCTTCTGTTCAGTCTTGCCTTCTTTCTTTCTTTCTTTCTTTCTTTCCTTCCTTCCTTCCTTCCTTCCATGCATTAACTCTAGTTTACTAGCTGTAGTTTGGGGTAAGTTTTACCAGGGAACATGAGTATGGGCTGACCATGAGGTCTATGTGATACTCTGGCCTCTCTGGGGTCCTTCTCAGCCTCTTCCCATCCACAACTCACCTGCCTAGAGAGCAGGTAGATCTGGAGAACCCACCTCCCCATTGTTAGATGAGAAAACTGAGGCACAGTTAGGTAAAGTGACTTGCCCAAGATTGCACAGTGGGTGGGTGAGTTTTACCTGACCACATCACTGCTAAGTTTGCCTCACCACAGTCCCTCAGGCTGGAGGAATAGACTGAGGGCTGTTTAACTGCACAACAACCAAGGATGATGCCTGAGATTCGCTGGCACCAGAGCAGTTGTCTGGCTGAAGCCAGACTTGTGCTGGAGGACAGAGGGGAGAGTCACAAGGATTGGCTGGCTCAGAATTTGGCCAAGCTCGTGGAGTTTACTAAACCCCTGCTGAGGTTTTGCTCCTAACAGGTAGGTACTGGTTGATAAGGATTTCTCATTGCTGGGCTCAGAACTGTTTCCTTTTGGCTGCTTTCCTGAGACAGGCAAAATTTCTCTATGGAGTTCCCTACTTCCTATTGGGGTGTCTGAGTGATAGGTGGGATAGATGTAAAGACAGGGACAAAGCTGCCATCAGTAGTACGCTCGGGTAAGCATGGCCAGAGATGCTGATGAAGCTGTTTTCAGGATGCTAGGCCATGTCCTACCCACACTTTGCTGTAGGAGGTCCCATGCTTAGGCACTCCATGTGCTACTTTTATGTCCAAGGGGAAACTTGAATGTGTCCTCTTCCTTTAATATCATCTGTGTATTCCTCTCCTGGTTCCACAGGTCATACATAAGCATCTTTTTAGTTGTCTTCATTGTGCTTATTGCTTTGGCAAATTTTTATTTAGTGTTTCTCTCCACAAGGGCGGGTCCTTGTCTGTCAAGAAGCGTACCTCACACATAGTAGACTTCATAATCATTTGTTGAATAATGAATGAATCCATGAATGAAGACTTGACTAAGGGAGAGTGTCTTTATTTTTTCCAACTTACAGTCACCCCTGAGCCAGGGACTTCACTCTGAAGCAAAATAATGGGATATATTTCCGCTGGTCTTAAGGGCAAATGGGCACTGTCCACTTTCAGCCCTAGTATAAAGTGAACTGTACGAGGGTCCTTCAAGGTCTGGGAGCTCTAGGTTATGTGTGGGCTAGGAGGCAGGTGTCGCTGGGGCCAGAGAGGCAGTTTTCTGCTTTTCCTACTTCTGGGTCTCCTCTGGCATGATCGGCACTAGCTGGCCTTCCCCTCCCCTTCGCCCAAGGGCTTGCTGCAGAAGTTTCCTTCCCACTAACTCCCTACTTGGGAAGCCCTTTCCTATTTGCTATATTGCAGGCTTTAGGCAGCCACATGACCCAAATAGGATTTGCCTCTATGGACTTTGTCCTGTGAGCCCAAAAATGTTCCAGAATGTCATCTAGAAGTTGGGAGAGAATGGTCCCCTCTGTTAGGACAATTGCTTTTGGGTTGACACCACCTGAAGCCACATGAGAACAGCAGCACTCATGCAAGGAGGATGATTAATTCCACTGCCCTTTATTCACCCCCCAAGGAAGCTGTGTGATCATGGTCTTCCTTTCTCAGGTCAGTGGGAAGTCTAAGAAATTAAAAGAGGGATTCTTGGATCCAGGCAGATAATTAGTCATGGCTACCAAGGACTTTGTGTACATTTCTTTGGATTTTCTTATTTAGTTTCTTTTTTTCAATTCTCTCCTAATTTAAATTATTTTGGAAAATTTCAGCCTGTCTCTGATGGGGTAGAAGAACCAGGCTCTGTCAAGATAGGGGCAGAGAGTTGGGAGGGCAGTGGTGTCTCCCTGAGGCTCAGAGAGGGTGCTCCCTACAGAACCCTGAATGATGGACCCAGAGGGTGATGCTCAGCACACAGAATCAAGCTGCAGAACCACTTCCTTCTCCATATGGAAACAGCATGGCTCTTTGTCGATATTCTGTGGTCTGTTAGAGCATGGAGATAGTCTTCAGCTTTCTAGCAAGCCCCATCCCATCTTCCATCCTACTTATCTCCTTGCCCACCCATCACACTGTATGATTGGCCCAGAAATTCAGGCCAAGAGGTTGTTGCTGTACCTTTTCCTTATACCTCAAACTGTGGTCTCCAGAGACAAAGAGGAGCCTCACAGACAATGAATTTTTCTTTTTTGAAAGAAGCTCTTCCTGACTAGCCTGGAGACTAATTTTTGCCAGACCACATCATGCTTTGAAGAACATGTTTAATGACTACCTTCCCACCAGATGCTATGGAGAGGGGAAAGAGGGATGGATCGCATCTTATTTCCCACTGTGATCCTGACACCCAACCTGGCACCTGGTTGGTGCTCAATAAATGCTAGCTGAATGAATGGAGGGGGAACAAATGGATGATCATAAAAATAAATTTCTTTTCCCGAAGACTTATCATTTGCAGAGTATTCTCCAGAGATTATGTAGGATGTAAACTCTGTTTCTCAGTTTCCTCTGAACTGGAATGTTGGTGGAAAAGAAACAGTGGGAAGTCTGACTAATGATTCCTTACTTCCACAGAAGGCTTCTCTGACCAGCCTTCAGCAAGGTATGTGAGGGAAGCAAGACTTTGGGTTCAGTACCTATTTCTGAAAACCATGGAACTTGAAAAATAATGGCAAGAATTTGAGTCGAGTCATATATATATGTGTGTATATGTATACACACACACACACACACACACATATATATATATATATATATACACATAATTTATCTATCTATCTAATTTATTCATCCACCCATCCATCCTTCTTACATTGCTTTTGGAGGCTGTCTTAGATTATTTGTCAATGACCCAATGTTTCTCCATGGTTTTTATCCTGAGAGCATGTTCAAGACCCAATAACTAGACAAAGGACCTCAAACTACTTGCTTGGTGGTAGGCATGGCTCAGAGATACTTGTGTTATTACAGATCAGACAGATCCCTATGCCAGGGGTCAGGGCACCTGGATTTTTACCCCACCTAAGAAACTTGGGCAAGTTATTTTCTCTCTCCAGTGCCAGATTCCCCAGCTAGAGTCTTCGCTCCTTCTCTAATGTCCTATGCTTGTCAGCTAGGACTTCAAGTTTCCTTCACATTAGGTCCAGACTGCTTGCACAATGGCAATGGGAGAGATGGTCCCCAAGCCTGGAGCAGAAAAGAAAGAACTGTGAGTAACTCAGTCTAAGCAGAAACACAAGACTTGGTTTTCTTAAAGATGAGAAGTCTCACTTCAAGGAATTTGTCAAACTTTAAAGGTCCCTTGCTGATCTCTCAGAAGCCCTGGATCTTCTAGGATTCCCTTTAGGGCTGTCTGAGGATAGCAGAGAACAGTAGGTAAGAATGAGGAATCAACTGCTGTCCTAACCTGCTCAGACAGAAATGAAATCTCTCCCACCCAATGTTTCCTTGGGCTTCTGGGAGATCACAAAGTTGCTAGTTAAAAAGAATATTGTGTCCAAGCTGAGAGGAGTAGAGATTTTGATGAGAGGATCAAGAGCCTTGGCGATGTTCCTAGCTGGCCTGTAAACTTGACTTTGGTGGGAATGTGGGCTTTGAGCTGTGACAGTGTCGGAGGCTCCGGCCAGGTCATCCCACCCCATTTCAGGCCACCAGGGGTCCCTGAATGGTCCTCAGCTCCTGCTCTCTGACTGAGGGAACAGTGAGGCTCTGTTTAAGATTTGGATTTAGTTTCTTTCTCTTGAATTCCTTCCTCGGGCCCTACTTTGTAGTTTAGCTCCACACTTTTCAAAGAGAGTAGCTTTCCTTGAAATGGCATTTCTTCTTTTCTTTCTTTTTTTTTTTATTGTATCTTGATGCTAGAAGAAAAATGGCACATAACAGATATCCAGATACAAATGAACATTTTCACAAACATCTTGCAAAACAACATCAAAGTGAAGAACACAACCATCTTTGCTTCAAGAAGAGGCGTCTGCCTCTGAGTATTTAATTAGCTTTCCAAAGTCAGCAACAAACCTAGGCAAATCCCTCCCCACAGGCAGGAGCCTGCCCAGCTCCATCTTCGTGGTGAAATCAAAGCAGGTCATTGTGGTTAATAACATTTGGACATAGATTTGAAAGCATGTGTAACAAAGTGAGTCACTTTCTCTCTCTCTCTCTTATGCACTTAAACAACAGAAAACCCCAAAGCAAATAAAGTTTGAAATGCAATGTAAAACCATGTCCCTTTGGGACCTTACTAGAGTGACCATGTTGTTTCAGGGAATTGTGCCAAATGCCCTTTGGAGTAGTTTGGGGATGGGGAGTGGGGGGGTGGTCAGGGACATACAGCAGCAGAAAGGACAGTGTGGAGGCAGCACCCAAGCTGGTTGCCTTTTGACCCCTGGAAGTGCTTTTAGATTGAAACTGTCTAAAAGCACACTCATGAAATTTTAGAAGGACTTAGATAATCTTCTTAGCTTTGAGTTAAAAAAAGTAAAAATAAAATTTTATTTTTAGCATATTCTTTTCAAAGGTCTACTGCCTCCAGAACAGGCAGTGTGGAGGGGTTCCCTCTAGGGCAAAGCAACCATGGACTTGGACACAAGCCAGGAAGGACTCCCCGCCAGGAAGGGAGCGAATACTGCCAGCATCCAATTCATTTACCCATTTTGTAGGAATGAACTAGATTGGATGGCTGGGGTAAAAATGGCAGTGCACAAAATGAGGGAGAGAAAGCAAGCATTTTTCTCTTCCCACTGGACTTATGGAACCGACACGCTGGGGACATACATTGAAAGAGGACTTTGACAATGTCCCAATTATGCAGCAACATTTTCTGTATGCCACCTGCATAATTCCATCTCGTAGAGATGCTCCAAGCTACCTGAGGACTTTTGGGTTCTGCAACATGGTCACTCTAGTTTTATCAGAAAACAAAACATGGATGCAACTCGGCAATGAAAAGGAAATGTCACCACAATAGCCGTTGAGCTCGAATGACAGAAATGAAGGACGGAGATCTACACAGCTACTTAGCTCTTGACTTCAGGTTTTAAAAATTCAGAGTTAACAAAGGAAAATCCTTCGAATTCTGATTGGTCAATATTCCTGATGACTTCCTGGTCAGGAGGTGTTAGGACTGGTGGATGGCGGGTGAAAAATCGGTCGAAGTTTTCAGCATTTCGCCCACACTATGAGAGGGGAAGAAAAGAACTTGTGGTGGGTGGGAAAAACAAAAACAAAAGCCAAAACAAAACAGAACCAAACAAAACCGGGTGAGGTTTTCTCAGATCCCTTCCCTTCAGAAACTCAGAGAGGTTGTTTCAATGATCGGAAATGACAGCAACATAAATAATGCAACCTTCTCGTGACCTTTGGTACATGACCTTGGGCTCCCGAACTTCAGTTGCTAGAGCTCATGAGTCACCCCTGGTTTTCCTTCTGGGCAGTCCAGAGATGCATGGCAAAGCATGAGATGGTGGGACTAGTGGCATGTGGCATGTTCCCCCACCCAAGCCCAAGGAGTCAGCCAAGCTCACTTTCGGAAAGGACAGAACTGAGGTACCTGAGATGCTTCATGTGGTGCAAGATGCAAACTAATGATCCATTTATACATCACCTGGGAGGTCTCAACAATTATAGCAGCAGATTCCTGAAAGCGCCGTCCCATAATTCTTGATCAGGAACAATAGATGCATCCAGTTCAACAGAATACAGATCCCAAGCACAAGAGACGGGGGTGGCATCTGCAATGCCCCGTGCTGAGCCCGATCCTCACTGACCCTTAGTTATAAGGAGCCAGGAGGGAAGCTCAGTTGCCTTTTCTCCAAATAAGAAGCCATATAGAAGGAAACACAAACCAGTGCTTGGTGAGGCCGGCAGGCTCTCAAGAGGAAACCCTCTGCCAATTCTCACCCATCCTGCAGGTCCTTGTCTATGAAAAGGCTGGTCAGAAGGCAGTTATATCATGTGTGTACATGTGTGCATGTGACACACATGCTACATTCCCACGTAACAAGAGACAAGCCACCAACTCAGGGGTTCCTTGTTCTTTGTTCCTCACCAGCCAAACCTGCTTGCATAAAAACTGAGTATTTCAGTGTCTATGGGAGGTAACTTCAGTCTAATAATGAAATAGAAGTCATCATGATGGCGGCTAGCATTTATTGTGCATTTGCTATATCCAGGTACCCTGGAAAACTCTTTATTTACATTATGTTATTTAAACCTCCCAATGGTACTAGGAGTATTTATTATTATCTCCATTTTATCAATGAGGAAACTGAAGTAAAGTTCACCACCACACCACTAATGAACAGCAAAGTCACAGCAGGAGTTGGATCCATCTGACATCAGAGCCCAGGTTCTGGGCTCCGTTCTTACAAGGAAGCTCAATGGGCTTGTGACAGAGTGAATACTGGAGTGGAATGGAGGTGGGAGGGACACCAGGGAAGGGGATGAGGTCTTAGCTCTGAATGACAGAAAATGTGATTGTATCAACTAGTGGGATGGAGAAAGTAGGAGAACTCAGAAAGATGATGATTTCTGCTTTGGACATGATAGCTTTGAGAGGCCAGAAGAGAATCTAGGTGAGGACCAGAGGGAGTCAGAAGTGCAGCTTCTGGGCAGGGTGTGGTAGCTCGCACCTGTAATCCTAGCTACACAGCAGGTGGAGATAGGACAATTGCAGTTTGAGGACGGCCCTAGGCAAAAGTGAGAGACCCTATCTGAAAAAGTAAAGTAAAAAAGGCTGGAACTCCAACTGGTAGAGCACCTGCCTAGCAGCATGAGGCCCTGAGTTCAAACCCACCCCAGTACTGCCCCAAAAAAGTACAAATTGATCTGGAGTTCCAAAGAGAGATCTTGAAAAAAATTCAAACAACAAAATAAGAATGGTGGGGACAGATACAAATAACAATAAGGGCCCTTGAGCACTCTCCATGCAACATTTGCTAAGTGTTTGGCACACATTGCCTTTTTAATTCATGCAACAATCCAGTGAGGGAAGTAGTTTATTCTCATTTGCCAAAGGTAAAGCTTCCCCTAAAACTGGGTTACAGCAGTAGGAGGACCAGGAGAGAGCAGACAAGCTAAGTCATGGAAGAATCCAAGGACAGAGGAATTGTCATAAGTGAAGTTGAGTAGGAAAGTCATTGAAAGTGGTCACTGCACTTGGCAACTGGGAGGGCCTTGATGGGACACTGATGACTGCCCCTTGGGCTCCAGTGGCTCAGAGAGTGAGGGGCCACTGAGATAGTCAAGGAGAGTAAGTTCAGCAGGTGCTTGTGGCTCATGCCTGTAATCCTAGCTACTTAGGAGGCAGAGATCAGGAAGATCATGGTTCAAAGCCAGCCCCGGGCAAATAGTTCTCGAGACCCTATCTCCAAAATACCTAACACAAAAAGGGCTGGTGAAGTGGTTCAAGGTGTAGGCCCTGAGTTCAAACCCCAGTATAGCAAAAAAAAAAAAAAAAAGAGCAAATTCCTATTTAAAACCTAGAGTAAGAGGAAGCAGACTGATTTGATATGTGTGCAAGGGGTGTCATGCTCAAAGAGCCTCAGCCTCCTGCTTGCTTTTCTTTGATAGAAAGGAGCCTGTAGACAAGAATTCTAATCCTGGCATTTTTCTACCCATTCGCTGTGTGAACTGGCACATTTCCTAAAGTCTCTGGTTCCTCTTTTATAAAACAGGGACAGTTCCAGTTCCGAATATATGGGGTTATGACACAGACAAGATAAGACAACGCATGTGTTGGGCACAGGGCCTGGCACCATGTAGGTGACCAACGTATCATAGCTGTAGCTTCTGGTTCCCACTTTCTACTGTGAATCCCTATGGGCAGCAAATGCTTCCTGTGATAGGGTATTTTCACAGTGTTTAAGTCTGAAATACCAAGGAAACAGCCTCGAATTTTTAAAAGATTCTTGTTAGACTTAAAGTAACATTTGTTATTAGGACACACACACACACACACACACACACACGTGCTAGAGACTGAACCCAGAACCTCACATTTGCTACACAAGAGCTCTTCCACTTGAGCTATGCCCCCAATCCTTTTGTTTTTATTTTGCTTTTGAGATAAGTTCTCTCTACTTTGCCTCTCTCTCTCTTGCCTCTGCCTCCCAAGTAGCTGGGGTTTATAGGTATATGCACCTGGAATATATTGCATATTGATTTTGCTATGGAAATGTAAAAACGCAAACTTGATGAAAAGCAATTCTAGATGAAGCAAAGACATGAACGCAAGAAAGTTCTAGAAAAAAAGCCTGAATAAATGTATGTATATTCTAACAGTGGAAAAATATTTCAAAAGGACATAAACCAAGAAGCAACAACAAAACAACTGATATGTCTGACTACATAAAAATTAAGTTTAGTAGAGCACCTGCCTAGCAAGTGTGAAGCCCTGACTTCAAGCCCTAATTCTGCCAAAAATAAATAAACAAATAAATGAATAAATAAAAAATTATATATGGTTAAAAAAACAAATAAAGTCTAAAGGTCAACAAACTAGCAAAACATGTTTGTAATACTTACTAAAGAAAAAAGGCTCTTTCTTTAATTTACAAAACACTCATGTATTCAGAAGAAAACAATGATCCAAAGGAAAATTGAGAAAAAAGAGAGAAAACTATTTTTAAAAAGTCAAACTATATGAAAATATGCTCAAATCTCATTCATAAATAAGAAAACACATACAAGCAATGAGGAAATGATGTCTTAAGCAAGGGGAGGCGATGTGATGAGGATGTCTTGAAGAAAGCACTCCAGGCAGAAGAACATGTGCAAAGGCCCTGAGATGGGAACTTGCTTAGTATTATCACCTGCAAAGCCAGTGTGACCACAGTAGAGTGACCAAGGGGCAGGGGACAGGAGAGATCTCAGAGGGGACCAGAACATTGTCCTCTGGCCATACCAGGAAATCAGATTTTCATCTCAGCTCCATGAGAAATCACTGGAAAGTTCTGAGCTCTAGGTGACATAAATCCATGTTTAAACAGGACCCCTGTGTACAAAACAGACTGAAGGGGTAAGGTGACAGTGGAGTCAGATGAGAGAGGATTAGGGCTTGGCAGAAGAGCATAGGAAAGAAGGAAAGACACATCTGGATTTGGGTTACGTTTTCTACTTAGAGTTTGACAAGATTTGCTGATAGACCAGCTGTGAAGACTGAGAAGAAGGGAGGAACTGGTGGTGCCCCAAGACTTTCCACTCGAGCTACTTGGTGAGAGAGGCCACTGGGGTTACCGCATGGTAGTGGTGATGGTGGGGGGATTGAATGTTGATTCCATTTGTGGTCAGTTTGGGACTCCGGTAGAGATGCCAGGGACTCACCTGGGCATGAGGTGTGACTGTGGTGGGGAATGGAGAGGAACAGGGCACTGAAGTGCACCAGGAGCTCAGGTAGGAGACTGCTGAAGCCCTGCAGCCAGAGACAGGGGACAGGGTTGAGGGAAAGCAGGGATCAGAGAGGATGATACTGAGAGGAAAGAGGAGGTGCTGGTGGCAGGGATCTGGGATGAAGGCTTCTGTCCTTTGTCCACACCAGCCAGGCTAGGAAGTATGTTAGCTGAGACACTGGGGTCCTCGGGGGGCCACTTTTTTCCTTTAAAAACCCTCCGTTTCCAACCACACCAGAGGGCTGCTGATTTGCCTGGGCTCCCCAGAGGCTGTGACAGGAGCGTGAAGCAACTGGCAGCTCCACAGTTTCCTCCCCAATCCTCCCCTCACTGCCTGGAGAACAATGAAATCTTTATGTGAGATAGCACAGTGGAGAGGCAAGAGCAGGGGTTAACCAAGGTGGCACGAGCATGGTTTTCCTGCTAATAAGCAGCTTAGGGGGCTGACAGATCACAGGCTCCGTGTTAAGTGTTTCTGTGTTTCAAATGGAGCTGTCACTGTCCGTTAGTTTCAGGAGCACTCCCTAAATGGAGACGTCAGCCCTTGGGAGGCACAGCCTGAGCCAGCCCTACAACTGCAAGCTGTGTCCTTGGAGGATGGGCAGCTTGGTGGCAGGGACCTAATTACAAACACTGTGTGAACCGCACCTGCCTCTGTGACCATCTGGGGTGGGTGTTTCAGGCTCATTTAGCTACTGAAAGAAAATTCAATCCCTTTGTCATGGGGTTTACCAATAGGGCTGCTGGAACAGGGATGGGGCCAGAAGCCAACGAGATTATTTAAACTG